AAAAAGATTTCATTCTATGTTAACTTATAAGTATTTTACATTTTTAGCTTTTACATCAGTTTATCATTCATTTTATTTTGCTTTTTTAAAATTATATTTGGTATAAGAAAGAAGCCCAAATTTCCTCTTTAAAAATATAATATTTTTAATAATTCTTTGAGAATTTCATATATGCACACACTGTGTTTTGATCATATTCATTTCCCACTCCTCCCAGATATAATGCCTATCTTTCCCCTCCCAACTTCATGGTTTTCCTCATCCTCCCTGCTCCAATTTGTTTTACCCATTGTTGACATTCTCTTGAAGGAATTTGCATCTATATTTGTAAGGGATAGCAAACCTTTGTACTATTTTCTTGTAATATTTTTAGTGTCGGAAGGAGAGTAATACTACCCTCACAGGAAGTATGGGGAAGTGTTCCCTCACCTTCTATTTTAGGAAAGGGTTAGTGATGGATTGTACTTAGTCCTCCTTTTAATATTTGTTAGGATTAATTTCTGAAGCTATCTGAGTCTGAGCCTTCCTTTGTGAAAAGCTTAAACTATTTTGACTTTCTTCCCCCTTTATGGCTGAATTTCTCTTTTTGCTTGAGCCTGTTTCTATGCTTTTCTAAGAAGGTGTCCCCTTAATTCAGGTCATCTAGCTTGTTGCAAATCTAACATCTATTCATAGTATCTCTATAGCAGTCTCTTCCACATCTGTAAGATTGACGGCTGGCCATGTCTTCTTCCTGATTCCAGCTGAAGCTTCTGTTTCTCATGGTCAGTTTAGCTAAACATCACCAAGTTGTTTATCTTTTAAGGAATCAAGCTAGTTTTCCTCCCTTTTTCTATTGTTTTTCTACTCTGTATTTTATTCATTAATGTTAAAACCTTATCATTTCCTTGCTTCCATTTGCTTTGAGGTATGTTTGCTCTTCTCTGGTTTTATACTGTGGAAAACTACTCATTTGAAATGGCGTTTAATGTCATCTTTTACTTACAGATTCTCCCTGAACCCTGTTTTTGCTGGATCCTGGAGATTTAATATATTTTGCTTTTATCTTAATTCAAGATATTTCTTTGACCTATTGTTTACTAGTATGTATATTATTTAATTTGCAGGCATTTATGCAGTCATGGTTATTAAGTCTGATTTCACATTGTATAACTAGACAATATGTTTTGTGCTAACTCAGTATTATTAAATATAATGGTTCTTTAGGTCTATGATATACCCTACATGGAGAATGTTTGATGAACTGAACAGTTTAGAAAAACACATATTTGGCCACTATTAGATGGTTCATGTTGTCTGTTAGGTCTTGGTTTACAGAAATCATTTTTTGCTTTCTTATAAACTTTCTGTCTAGTTGTTGAGAGTAGGTCTAGAATCTGTTTCTCTTTTTTCTCTTTTCACAAGTTTTACTTATTTCTCATGTAATTCTAGGCATTTGGGCTATATTCATATATGTATATAATTTTATATTTTCCCAAGGAGTTGACTTTTTATAATTGTAAAAATGTTCTTTTTTATTATAAAACATGGTTTTGGTTCACAGACTATTTTTATATCACTATAGCCATTCCAAATCTCTTACATTTCTAATTATGTGTTTCCCACCGTTTGAGATTAGCTTGTTTTTATCTTCGAATCTAAATTATGTTGGAACGTATACTTGAATAATTCAATCTTCTTTTAGTCTGATCTGTTCATCTTTTTACCAATTATGTAGTCTATTTGCTGCTTTTATAGGGTTGGATTCAAATCTGCCATTTTGGCTTTGATTTTCTGTATGATTCAAATATTTTTTTTAAATCTCTGTTCTCTGTTATTGCTTTTATTTATGCAATTGTATGTTTGCTAGTATGCTGTGGGATGTTCTGTATGTTAAATGTGTTGCTTTGATTGGTTGATAAATAAAACACTGATTGGCCAGTAGCCAGGCAGGAAGCATAGGCGGGACAAGGAGAGAGGAGATTTCTGGGAAGTGGAAGGCTGAGTCAGAGAGACGCTGCCAGCCCCCTCCATGAGAAGATGTTAAGATACCGGTAAGCCATGAGCCACATAGCAACTTATAGATGATGAGTTAATTTAAGATATAAGAACAGTTAGCAAGAAGCCTGCCACGGCCATACAGTTTGTAAACAATATAAGTCTCTATGTTTACTTGGTTGGGTCTGAGCAGCTGTGAGACTGGCAGGTGAGAGAGATTTGTCCTGACCGTGGGCAAGGCAGGAAAACTCTAGCTACACTAGTATAACACTTTAGTTCTTTTAGTGATTTTTAAATTGTTTTTTAACTTATACTACTTATTAGAATCTGTTTTAGATCTAGATTGCCTTGATTTCAGTTAATACAGAAACTTTTCTCTCACTATTATACCTAGTATTTACAAGGGTTAAATATTCAACAACACACTGATGTAAGTCTTATTTTATGCAATATTCTATCTTCTTTAGGATCCAAGAGAACAAAAAGCACAAAATTTTATGTCTTCAAACTCTCTTTGTTTCTTTTGGGGTATTTGAGTTACCATCTGATATATCCCCTTTTTCCCAGTGTGGCCTTGTTCTCACCTTGTGGCATCCTTTGTCATATGTGTACATTGTCAAACACATTACCTCTCTCTATGCTCTTGGTCCAGCAATATAATTATATTCACAATTCACATCGTTTGGTGCAAGTTATATTTAAAGACAGTTAAAAGGAGAATCTCTATGTTATTGGGCTGGCTTTCACATTTGCATGCACAATTATTTCTACTGCACAATGATTTCACATCCAATTGTGAAGTTCGGTCTTGTGTCCCTTGGTTGCAATCTGAAGAATTTGGTTAGATGTGTCTTGTATGAGAATTCCATTGACAATAAATTCTCTCAGGCTTTTAAAGGAAATCTTGGAACATTTTTACTTCACATTCTTCTTTTAAAGATAATCTGTGTGGTGTAAGATTCTTAAGGATATTGTTTATCTTTTGGCACTCTGATAGTACCATTCCATTCCTTCCTTGCTGCATTTTTTTTTTGCCAAGAAGTCAGCTGTACAGTGGGCCTCATTGTGATACCCTAGCCCCCTCCCCCACCCCCACCCCCCGTTATTCAATTCCATGGCATGAAATATATTTTCAATGTTGTGTAATCATTTGTGAAATTTTTCAGTATCCTGTAAAGAACTTCTGTCTCCTTTAAAAAATCCTGCATTTATTTTTCCCAGCCCCTGGAACCACCATTCTACTTTCTGTCTCTATGAGTTTACCTATTCTAGTTCTCTTGCTTTGTTTTGCTTTTTTGTTTTTTGTTTTTATTGAGACAGGGCTTCTCTATGTAACAGCCTGGGCTGTGTGTAACAGTCCAGGCTGTCGTGGAACTCCCTTTGTAGACCAGGCTGGCCTAGAACTCAACAAAAATCTGCCTGCCTCAGCCTCCCAAGTGTCAGTAGTTAAGGTGCATGACATCACTGCCCAGCTCTAATTTTTAATAAGGAAAAAAAGATTTATTTTATTTTTAATTATATATCTCTTTGTTTCTCTGTGTGTTTCTGTGTCTGCCTCCTCCATCTCTGTCTCTCTCTCCTTTCCACCCTTCCTCCCTCTCCCTGTGCATACGTGTGTGTGTGTGTGTGTGTGTGTGTGTGTGTGTGTGTGTGTGTGTGTGTATGTAAAGGTAAGTACAGGTGCCCTCTGAGGCCACAGGATGGCATCAGATCCCCTGAAGCTGACGTTGTAGACAGCTGTGAGCCACCCAATGTGGATGTTATGATGTGATCCTGTGCAAGAGCACTGCATACTCTTGAGCACGGAGCCCTCCCTCTCTCCAGCCCTGCTCCAAGTCCTTTCATTTACTGTCGCTTTCAACTTGCATATTTCTGTGAATGGATTTTGGCATGGTTTTAGCATTCCAATTTTAATATTGATAAGATATAACCAGATATTGTAATGAATATGTAGATTGTAAGTTGCTCATGGCAATCACCCATCCTTTTCTAGATTTTGAAACCATATATATTGCACTGCGATGGGAGTGGGGTTCGGCTGTCCTTCTAAGTTCTCTAATTGTAGAACATGTTCTTTTGCTCTGGGTGCTTTTGCAATGTCCCTTTCCCTCTGTTTGAAGCATTTTTGTTGTGGTTTCTTGGGGTGTGCATTTCTTTGCTTTTATAGCATGGGTAAATCAATATCTCCATTGTAGGCATTACATTCTTGACAGTCAAATTCAGGATGTCTTCAACCATCATTTCCTTAGATATTTCTCTTGTATCTGTTTCTCTTTTTCCTTTGTGATTCTCCCAGCACCTATAACTTTATTTGATTCCTGTTGTTGACATCTTTCCTGAGGCTCTGTTCATTTCTCTTCATTCCTTTGCCTCAGCTCTTATCTTTAAGTTTGCTGATTCTTTTTTTTTTCTGCCAGCTCATGTGCACTGCTGGGACTCACTGTATTATGCTTTTTGAATACAGAATTTCCATTTTCTTCCTTTTATAAGTTCTATATTTTCTTTCTACTGTATGAAATATCTTCATACCTTGATCTTACAGTTAGTAAAAATTTTACAGTTTCAAATGTTTTTCTAAACATAAGTATTATACTTTCTTTGAAGTTTTTGTCTTCTATATCCACTACCTAAGCACTTTTAAGATAGTTTTTACTGCCTGTTTTTCACTGTTCCTGAGTGTGTTTCATTCTTTCCTACTTATTCACCTTTCTCATAATTTTGTTGTTACTGTTAGCGTCAAGATTTTTAGATATTCTTTTATATCAACTCTAAATATTAGGTCTCTGTATTAGTCAGTGTTCTAGAGTACCAGAACTTATAGAATGAATCTCTCTCTCTTTCTCATAGGTATATATATATATACCTTTCTCATAGGTATATATATATATATATATATAGTTATATTCTATATAAGTCATCATATTATTACTTTATTATTACTTGTTATAATTATTCATATATATATATATATAATTTATAATATATATATATTATATATATGGGGTTTTATTAGAATAACTTACAGGGTGTAGTTCAGCTAATCCAACAATGGCTGGCTATGAACAGAAAGTACAGGAATCCAGTAGTTCCTCAGTCCACAAGGCTGGATGTCTCAGCTGGTCTTCCATACACACCATGTGATCGTTGCCTCAGCGTACCGAGTTCTCAGCTACTGATCCAGCATAATGTCTGCTGCCTGTTCCCATGCTCCCAATCATGATGTTCATGGACTCATCTTCTGGAATTGTAAGAAAGCCCCAAATTAAATGCTTCCTTTTATAAGTAGCCTTAGTCATGGGGTCTCTTCACAGCTATAGAACAGTAACTAAGACATCTGTATTGGTGGGTATTTATTGGATAATAAAATCCATAGCTGGGTACCAAGTTGGCTATGCATGAATAATTAATCATTAATCACAAATGAGAATAAATGTTAAAAATATGAGGTAAGGATAAAGTCATTAAAAAAAAGAAGGGAGCTACCGGTTGGGGAAAGACATGGACCACAGCAAAGAGAAGCAAAGATCAAGTTAAGGTTTGGACAAATACAACCAGGCTGCTATAGTGGGTAGCCATTCCAGCTTTGATCTGGAAGTTCCAACCCCCACTGAGGCTCCTGTAACTGTCACACCTACAAGGCTGGGCCGAGAGAGGACCCTGAAGACCCGAGATCCAGATGCGTGGGCTCTCTTAGTTCCTGGACCCTGGACACTGAAGGTAGATGGAGCAGAGTTCTCCAGAGAACACCGCTGGACTGCGCCACACTTTTTCCAGACCCTGTTACCTATCCCTTCACTTGTAAGTTACCCCACAAAATAAACCTCCTTTTTAACTACGTGGAGTGGCCTTAATAATTTCACCAATATCTGGCACTCATGTGGGGCAAAGTTATTTCATACCACAATAGGAATATATGACCATGGAAACCACTAATGGCAAGAATCATTCCATTTTCCCATTTTTATTTACATGTCATAGAAGCTATTGATTGATTGCCTAGGGTAGCTGGGCAGAGTGCAATATAATTCAAGAGTAGCTTTACAATAATTTTATTGGTACATAAATTGTGCAAAAGGACTTAGTTATGCTATTTCCATACAATCATATAATGTGCATAGATTATGTCTACCCTTTATTGCTTTCTTATTCTTCTTCCCCATACCCTTTTCCATCCACATTCCACATCGGGCCCCCCTTTTAATTTCATATATTTCTTTTTTCTTTTTCCTCCTCGAGTCTATGAATGAAAGAAAATATGTGTTATTTGTCTCTATAGGGCTTTTTAGGAAAAAATGTTGAATATTAATCATGTTTCTGACAATCTCTACAATTTTTACTAAACTGACTTCAATAATTCTGAAAGTAGTGATGGTGAGAGAAACCTCTATGGATTAAGGTTTTGACCCTGGTGACCACATCTGCATTACACGAAAAATTTAAGAAAATTCATTTGGACAAAAGAGTAAACAGCAAAGGACAAAGGTTTGTGTAAAGTGAAAGTGGGCCAGAAGAAGGCATTTGAGGGTGAACTTGCTTATGTAGTACCAGCTTGGCCATCAGTGGAGGTCCGGGGAAAATGTGTAATTAAAATAGATATCAAACCCAACATCCCTGTGAACTTGACTGCTATTCACGATGGCCACAGTCTATGAAACAGATGGGAAATTACTAACTGTCCTATTTGACAAACAGAATGAGAAGTGGGGGGAAGGGAATGAGAGAGAGGAGGAAGAAGAGGAAGAGGAGAAGAAGGTGAAGAAGAAAGAATAAGAAAAAGAACAACAAAGAGAACAAGAAGAAGAAAATCAACAACAAGAACAAGAGGAAGAAGAGAAGGAAGAGGAAAAGGAGGGGGAAGAGGAGGAAGAAGAGGAAGAAGAATAAGAAGAAGAGGAGGATGAGGAAGATGAAGAAAAAGCTAACAAGAGAGTTTATTACCTATTAAATATAAGATCTTATCCAAAGATATTTCCAGTGAACCAATACAAATTCCTGCCTTACAATACAGATGTTTCTGTTACAGGATTATTGCATCATAGTTCAAGTTGGTGAGTGCACTCCTTCAGTCTCTGATATTCATTGCTAATTTAATTCAAATGTGGTCAGGGAGCAGATATACTATTACATCTACTGTTTAAATCTGCCAAGATGTATTTTACAGGCCAGGATAAAGTCTTTCTTTGTGAATGTCCCAAGTCAGCCTGAGAAGGATATGTGATGTTGGATAAGCAGCCTATAGATGTCAATTACATCCAGTTGATTGATAGTGCTATGAAATTCAACTGTCTTTATTGATCTTTCTTCCTGCTGGATCTGTCTGTCTCTGATATCCATTCTTATCTCTAATAGTGGGGCTTGCCGGTTTCTGTTTTTGGTTCTGTCAGTATTTGTCTTATGTACTTTGTTGCTCAGTTATTCTTCATTCATGTATTCAACAAATATTTTGATGAACTTCCATGAGCCAGCAATGTTCTAAGCAATAGCGCACAGGGTAAAACAAAAGAAAAGGGGCATACTGTTCTCCAGCTTACTGGTCCAGTGGAAGATTACGTGTTAAAATTCTAACACAGAGATTCATATTGTGCTACTGGTTCTTCCCAAAACACTTTCTCAGAACCAACTATTATACAGTTTTCCTGGAGAAGAGCAAAGGAATATGTGGGTTTTCTAAAAAAGCCCACAAATATTGACTGCATTGTTAGGGAATGACTAACACAGTAGATCATGCAAATGATTAAAATTTGGTCAAGAGACAAGCTAGTTCTTTTCCTCTCAAAAGTTATTGAAAAAATATTTCTGTGTTAAAGAAACAGGTCCCAGGTGTTTTGTGTGACATCCAAGACATAATTCTGTCCCTGTCTAGCTCACTAGCTCTTTTCCCATTGCTGATGACCTGTTTTCTAGTCTCCATGGCTGAATGCTCCAGGGTGATGAATAAATTGTCTTTTCTGGGCTGGGCGGTGGTGGCGCATGCCTTTAATCCCAGCACTCAGGAGGCAGAACCAGGCGGATCTCTGTGAGTTGGAAGCCAGCCTGGGCTACCAAGCGAGTTCCAGGAAAGGCGCAAAGCTACACAGAGAAACCCTGTCTCGAAAAAAAAAATTGTCTTTTCTGCCTGGAACATAACCCCTGACACTGCTTTCATAAATGAGGGCTCTTCCTTAATGCTACCTCCTCTAGCAATTCCTCTCCCACCTGTATACATAAATAATGCTGGCCCTTTATGATGTAGTAGTCCTTATAATACTATAATTTTATGTGGCAATTATTCATACCTCCTAGAAAGATTGCAAACTCTTGAATGTCATATCTACTTTATGTTTCTCCATAAAGATCAATAGACATTTATTTGATGTGTAAAGTAATGGATGTATTTGATGGATGGATGGATGGATGGATGGATGGATGGATGGATGGATGGATGGATGCATGGATGGAGAGCATTTTAAATGAATAAAAATTGATAAATTATGATATAAGGATCAGTCAGTAAATTAATCTTATGTTGTAAAATTAATAGTGTACATAATGTATTACAAATCAAGGAAAGTTAAAAATGCAAAAAAGAAATGTTCATCTTCTTCATGAAATGTCCAATCTAAGTAATTTGAGGAGCCAAGACTAATAAAAGAAGTAAATGACACAAATAAATAGGATAAAGATGCATAAACCCAATCAAATCTCTGCAGATAGATTTATAGGCTGGATGGATTTAGAAGATGGTCAGGTCTTCCCATGAAGCAAATGAATGTTAGGAAGGTTTTGTCTTATTTTGTTTTGATTTTTCCCCTTTAAAATGTTCCAGTTGAAATAAGATGGGAAGAGTGTATTGGAGATAACTTAAACAGTCTAAGCAGAGGTTCAGGTAAGAAAGTAGCTCTATGCTGGAACCGGCCTGATGTTCAACAGCCCCTTATGAGACACTGACTCTGATCTCTTGGTGGAAAGGATTATTTCAGGGGTGACTAAAGGGATCTCAATGGCTTTCTGGATCATTTAGGGTGCTGGTTAGGTTTTTCCTTTCCTTTTTCTTTTTTGTCAACTTGACACAGATTATAATCATTTGGGAAGAGGGAACCTCAACTGAGAAAAATGCCTCCATCCAATTGATTTGTAGGCAAGTCTGCCGAGCATCTCCTTTATTGATGATGGGTGTAGGAGAGTCCAGTCTATTGTGGGCAGTGCAATCCCAGGCAGGTGGTCCTGTGTTGTATAAGAAAGTAGACTGAGCAAGCCACAGACAACAAGCCAGCAAACAGTACTCCCCCATGGCCTCTGGTTCAGTTTCTGCTGCCAGGTTCATGCCCTGCTTGAGTTCCTGCCTTGGCTTCTCTTGATGACAGACTGCAGTGGGGATGTATAAACCAAACAGACCCACTTTCCTTCAAGTTCCTTTTGGCCATGGTCTTAATCATAGGAATAGAAACTTGACTAAGACACTTGGTTTAGTTGTGAAATAACTGGCTGACTGCAAATTGTCTGAAGGGTGAGGCTGGAAAGAATCTGAAAGATCTCTGGAAGACTCCTAATTCCAAATCCAGCTATACCAGTGGGTAAAAACAGAACTGTGATATAAAATGCATGGTGGTGACATTAGCCATATGTGTATTTGTTAACATTGCAAGTGTTCAACACACCAATTTGGGGTGGCTTTTGATGGAACAGTTTTTTTCAGACCTACTAATTTCTGGCAAGTATTCATTTCTTTCTTGAGGTGGAGTAATAGATTAAATAATGAGAATTCATTATAAAAGGAAGTAGTAATTTTTTTTAAATGAAAAAAATTTCCACAATTTTTCTTGGATGAGGAGAGAAAGTATTGATTGAGTAACTTCTGAGGACCAGGAATATTTGGGTCTGAAAGGCATGATGGAATGCAATATGCTCATATTTACTTTTCCAGATGAAGAACCTAAGATTTCATGAAAGAGGTGGCATTGTGACACCCATGTTGGGATTCTTACCTTGGACAACCAGACTTCTTACTTCAGCCTCTTCCCACTAAACCTTCCTTTCATCCCTGCTTACAGCACACACACACACACACACACACACACACACACACACACACACACACCGCTTTAAAATTAGCAATTGTGCACTTCTCAAGATGAAAAAAGTCATTTGTGTCATTCATATCTTCAAGAAAGAAAATCATGTAAAATCTCTATCTACAGAGTCCAAAATGCATGCCAGAAAGGTCAAGGCGAAACAAAGGAGCAAAATGCTCCATTCCTC